AACGATATCATATTAATATCGTATTTACTTCCCATTTTTCAAAAAATTCATTGTTGTTATAACAATATCGAAATGATATCGATCTGATATTTTTTCAAACAAATATCTTTACGATATCATTTCGATATATTGAATTAATATTGAAATGATATCATTGCGATATCATAATGATATCATTTGCAAATTGATATCGCCACGATTATTTAACATCATTATTATATTAATTCGGTATTGTTTAAAAATTCAAGGTTTCTGTAAAGTAATTTTCAAATAATGATGGTAAAGGATTACTATAATCTTGAACAACTTCCGAATCTTGGTCATCATCCGAATCTCGATTAGCCTCATGGTTCAATTTTGTACGAACATCTACTATTTTTCTGTTACATTTAGAATAATTGCAAGAAACCATTCTTCTGTCATGTGTATGTATAATTGAAATTGATTCTTCAGATTCTTCATCAATTACTCTAGAAATCGCTCTACTTTTACAAGAAGAGCGAGTTGTAATTGATTCTTTATCATTGCTAAGTAAAGCAGAAACTAATCTCTTTCGTCTACTCATTTTATGAAATAAAAAATTTACAATATTTATCTCAATATATTTTTAAATAATATCAATTTAATTCTTTTTAAAAAGTAAATTCCTGCTGCGCTACAAATTGAACAAATTCAATTTCACATTATAAATCGCCATAATATATTTTCAATTATTCAATTAAGATTATTTTTTAAAGAATAATATAAAAAATTCGCCATATAATCAAAGTGATACATAGGAGTTAAATTAGATCCTTTTTTAAAGAACAATATAAGAAATTCGTCGTATAATCAAAAGAATAAAAAAGATCATTTAATCATTTAAGGAATAAATTTAATTGTTAAAAATTTTTTAAGGAATCAACGGTAATTACAATATCATGATAATTTGATTGTGATTAAGCTTATAAGAAAAAAGCTTAATTCGACTGATTTTAAGCTATAAAAGTCTAAATTTTAAATTTTTTCTCTCTCATCTCTCTTTTCTTTCTCTTTCTCTTAATTTTTTACTTTCACCATGTCCCAACAAGAAAAAAAAAAAATTACCAAAGTTTATAAATATCCGTCTGAAATTACTCCTGCTGCCATCGCAGCCACCACTAGCAAAAGAGCTTCTAAAATTTCTGAAATTACTCCTGCTGCTATCACTAGCAACGAAACTACTCCTGTGCCTGCTATCACTAGCAAATCGACCGTTACTTCAAAATCAAAAGTTCAGCATATGAAAGAACAATATAAAAATTTCAAGGTTCCAGATTTCTATTTAGAACAGCAAAAGGATCTTTGCCATAATTTAGATCTTTATGATGATAATTCATCTTTGGAAACTGGTATAATTGTAACAAAATTGCTAAAATTGGTTGCTGTTTTGGTTGCTTTACATTGAAAGTTTGTTTGTTTCCGAATTTGGTTAATAAATTTTACACTGGTCGAAATAGTCCAAATCGGCTAGAAATCGGATGTCCGATTTTAGGCTGAATTTGGTGATAAATATGGCCGATTTATTAATTTAGGCAAAGTTCTGATTGGCAGGCCGATCGATGCCGATCAGAATGTCTGAATTGTATCTGAATTGCTTAGTATTTTTAATCCGAATTGTTTAAAAAATATTATTCATAAATTTACTGAATTGCAGTGAATTTATTCTGAATTATGGTAAATTTGTGACAAAATTTTCTGAATTGTAGTAAAATTTATTCCAAATTGTAGTAAAATTTATTCCGATTTGTAGTAAAATTTATTCTGATTTGTAGTAAAATTTATTCCGATTTGTAGTAAAAAATTTATTCTGATTTGTATTCTGAATTGTATCGCAAATTACAGTAAATTTTATTCTGAAATTTAAAATATTACATATACATATAAAACAATTTTACCAAAAATCATCCCAACTTTCTAACAAATCCGGTATACATTAAATTCCTTAATTCCATTTGTTTCTACAAATTGGAGATGATTTTCCTACAAAAAAAAAAAGAAAAAACATTAAAATAACATTTTTTTTTAAGTTTCAAGTTTCAAAAATCAAAACGTTACCTGTAGGATGGCAAATCGAAGCCAATTTCCATACAAAAAAATTAATAAAATATAATAAAAAATGTTAAATTAAACATTTTTATTAAGTTTCGTCAAAAAGTTTCGAAAAATCGAAACTTTACCTGCGGGATTCCGGTACAATTTGGAGCTGATT